TTCTCCAGTCTTCCAAGGATGCTATTTATAGCTGGATTGGATAATCTATCCGTTGAATCAAAATAGACTATCCGTTGCATTTGCTGGCTTCAATTTTGAATGAAGATTGTGATTTGAAGATTCCTCATTGGAATGGGTGTTTGGACATACCCAATTGTTTAAGGAGGGATTCCTTTTTCCACAGAATCCGTCTTCTAGCTATTGTTCAAGAATTCTGAACTGTAGCACTTTACTCTGTTTGTCTTCTAGTGCTTGTTTAGGAATTCTGGACAGGCTCTTCAATTTTTAGAGGTCCAGACTTTGTCTTCGAGTCATTTGTTCTTGAATCAGCATAATTATCTTCAATTTAGCCGTTGAAAATCAAGAGATTGATTTTTCCTTACCAACGGGTAGAATTTCTTCATTCAAGACTTAGATAATTTTCTAAGTCTTTTCTCACTTGTCCGCTTTTTGAGAATTCCGGTCTTTCTTGAGGCATCCGGTTCTTAGCTGACAAATCCGGAAGAGTCATACTCAGTCTTCTGGGTGAGAAAAAATCCGCGCTAGTCTTCCGACTTAGCCTTCAGCGGGTTGTAGCGAGACATCCGGTTCTTTATGTAGTCTTTTGGATTGGAGGATTTTTGTCTGCTTTGAGAAATCCTTACTTGTCTCTGACATTTCCGATCAAGATATCCAATTTCCAAATAACTGAATTTGATTAAGCCTTCAGGCATCAAACCGGTTAAAGAAATATCACAACTTTATTGGAAATCTCAAGAACTCGGTTTTAACAATATTTCTAAAAAGAAAAATTACATTGAATATTTGGGGAGACCTAAAGGCCTATTACATTCTAAATACATCATCATCAAAATCTATAATATTTTTCCCAACATAATGTTTTTAAGAAATTTATCAAATTGGTTCAAAATGAAAAAGATTGTCTCATTTCATCCATTAGAAGTGATCATGGGGGAGAATTCGATCAAGATGGCTTTGACGTCTTATGTGACGAATTAGGCATTGAGCATAACTTCTCGGCCCCCCGTACACCACAACAAAATGTCGTAGTTGAACGGAAAAATAGATCTCTTGAAGAGATGGCTAGAACTATGCTCAATGAGGCTAACCTTCCTAAATATTTTTGGGCGGATGCCGTGAGTACCGCGTGCTACGTGTTAAACCGAGCCGTCATTAGACTGATACTTAGGAAAACACTCTACGAACTTTACAAAGGAAGAAAGCCTAACCTCTCCTACACTACTAGAATATGGCGATTTAGTGTGGGGCAAAAACCCTCACAAAAAGGTAAAAGCCGCCACAAGAGGAAGCTTTAATTTGCGTCGGAATCGAGGCCGTCATTAAGCTGCTCGATGCTAATTCTTAGCATCGGTCAAACCTTCCTTGTTTGCGTCGGCTTGCTCCTCACAATTTTGTGTCGGTTTAACCCTCAATAATTAGTGTCGGCCAAGCCCACGTTAGTTAGTGTTCGCTATCCCCTCGCAAATTTGTAGACCGGTTTGTGTCGGTGAAATCGTTACTAATTTGCGTTAAACATGCCCTCATAAAATGAAACACCCAGATATTTATCTCAACATTTTGTGTGGAGGAACTCCTTGCTAAAGTTCAAATATAAAAGAATATTAGCAAGGGCTTAACCCACACAATTTATTTTTTTTTAATAAAAAATTTCTTATAAACAAAAACATTCATATTGAAAGGGATGGAAGTTTAAACATATTTTAAAATATACAACATAAACATAATAGACACTTTAATGTCATTCATCACAAAAAATTCATAAAAGTCACTAATACTTTAATTTCATGATAAATACTAGAGTAATGCGAACAATTGAAAGCTTATAAAAAGTATTCCAAAGCATAAGTTTAATGTCAAAACATTTCATTAAGAGTGAGAATAAATATTTTGCGCCTTATAAAGATGAACGCCGTTTTGAACCTTGAAAGCCATGAGCACTCTCGTTAGAATGAAGATGAGGACGCTTCTTTTTTTTGAGTTTTTTTCACCCTCAATAGTTGCAAGACGTGACACTATCAGCTCCATTGACTTCTCCATCTCTGCAATTTTTTCTTCTTGTGCACGACGCTCCTCCTCATGAGCTAAACGTTCCGCTTCTTGAGCATGACGCAACTCTTCAAGCTCTTTTTGTAATCGAACATCATGAGTGATGAGTTCATCATCACAACATTCTTGAGTAGTGTAGAAAATTGTTGCTCCTTCACGCGTAAAATTCGACGACAATTCAGCCGTCCCATAGACTTTTCCTTTGCTCTTTCCCCCAACGGTCTCTTGCCAGATTGCTAATTTCTTACGGCTCTTGATATCACTTGTGCCATTTGTAGAACCATCTTCACTTTCAGCAATCTCCTTTAATTTCTTTTGATATGTATTCTGAAGTATTAAAACGTAAAAATTATATTTAATGACTTAACATATTTGAATATTTAATAGTTATAATGTGTTCTTTCAAAAATTAGTACTTACATATGTTTCCATAGAGCATGAATCGACCCAACCTCCATCCTTACGCTGGCGAGTGACTAAAAAGGCCCCATCCACTTCCACAGGACGTTGTTTCTCTTTACTCTTTAAAATTAAAAAAACACAAACAAAAGAGACTATATAAAGTAATGAAACAAATTAGCAGTTCTGGTTATGTGATATATTCTGTGAAATGGTAATAAACAAGTTCTGGTAATGTTTCATGTGTTGTATGTGCACCTCCACTCACCATTTCATTTAGATATCACTTTCATGCTCTCTGTCACCTAACTAATTTGAAATTTACACCTAACTTTTATGCTCTTTGTCGTCACCTAACAAATTTACACTAATAAAAGGCAAATCATGTGTTGCAGTTCTCACTACTATACCATTGTTTCGAAACTAAAACTGCTACTGCTACTATACCTGGATTCGCACTACTATACCTTTGTTTGCTACACCACCTTTTTTAAAACAACAGTGTTTCAATACATTTTAGAATATATTATACCAACTACTCCCAATGCGTACTGATAATAAGCCTAAAAAATTACTCGATGAATACTATATGGAATAAAATAAAATGCAAATGGGCGGGCTTTAAAATTTTTGTTTTGTGTCGGCCCAAGCGACAAAAGAAATCGCTGGGTAATTTTAAAATAATTAGTGTCGAGTAAACTAACATAAATTTTGCGTCGGCCAACCCGACACTAGTTCATTCTTAGTTTTCCACTAAAGCGTGTTGGATAAACATTCACAAACATATTTTTAGAATTATAATTGTAATTTACAAAAATATTTACACATTTTATCATCGCTTGGACTAACATAAAAAAAACTAAGTTATTTGTGTCGGTTTAGCGGATGCAAAATTGCGAGGGCTACGAGCCCCACACTAACATTGGCAGCTAATTCAACTTATTCTAGTAGTGCTATTTCCATGTCTTTGGATGTAAAGTTTTTATTCATAACAATGGAAAAGATAACTTGGGAAAGTTTGATGCTAAGTCGGATGAAGGAATTTTCTTACGTTATTCTCTTCGTAGTAAGGCATATAGAGTGTTCAACAAGCGTACTAAGACCGTAGAGGAGTCTATTCATGTTGTCTTTGATGAATTTTATGCTCGCTTGGCGAGAAAAGGTGTTGTTGAAAATTTGCAGGTTCTTATGACGATGAAGAAGAAATTGTTAAGGAAAAGGAACCAGAAGAAGAGAAAACGCAGGAGCAAATGGAGCTCCCTAAGGAGTGGAGAACATTGAAGAATCACCCGATTGACAACGTTATTGGTGACATAACGCAGGGAGTTTCTACTTGTAATTCTCTTAGGAACACAATTAATCACATGGCTTTTGTTTCTCAAATTGAACCAACAACCATTTTGGATGCTATTAATAATGAACATTGGTCTATGGCAATGCAAGAGGAGCTTAACCAATTTAAACACAATGATGTTTGGGAATTGGTGCATAGACCTAATGATCATTCCGTTATTGGCACAAAATGGGTGTTTCGTAACAAACTCGATGAAAATGGAATAATCACTAGAAACAAAGCTAGGCTAGCTTTTAGCTAAAGGCTACAATCAAGAAGAAGGCATTGATTATGAAGAAACTTATGCACTGATTGCACGTTTAGAAGCCATTCTTTTATTACTTGCATTTGCATCTATTATGGACTTTAAAATTTATCAAATGGATGTTAAAAGTGCCTTCCTTAATGGTATCATTAAGAGGAAGTGTATGTCGAACAACCCCCGGGTTTCGAAGACTATGAGTTTCCTGAACATGTTTTCAAACTCAAAAAGGCGCTTTATAGTCTCAAACAAGCACCTCATGCTTGGTATGAACGGTTAAGCAAATTTCTTTTGGACCATGAGTTCAAACGAGGTCAAGTCGACACCACGCTTTTCATCAAGAAAGATAACCAAGACATCCTTTTGGTTCAAGTTTACGTAGATGATGTCATATTCGGTGCTACTAACGAGGATTTGTGCAGGGATTTTTCCGATATGATGCAAAGTGAATTTGAAAAGTCGATGATGGGAGAATTAAAGTTCTTCCTTGGGCTGCAAATTAGACAATGCAAAGAAGGGACATTCGTGTGTCAAACGAAATAATGCAGGGAATTGCTTAAGAGATTCGATGTTACCGAATCCAAATCCATTGACACACTGATGAGCACCTCTTTCTATCTCGAAAAGGATGAAAAAGGTAAAGAGGTAGACATCAAGCACTACCGAGGTATGATCGGCTCTTTACTTTATCTTACCGCGAGTAGACCGGATATCATGTACTCCGTTTGTATATGCGCTAGGTATCAATCTTGTCCTAAAGAGTCGCACTTGGTTGCGATCAAAAGGATAATGCGATATCTCGCGGGCACGTTGAACGTAGGTCTTTGGTATCCCAAAGGTTTGACATGTCATCTTGTTGGCTATTCCGACTCGGATTTTGCAAGTTGCAAACTTGATAGGAAAAGTACCACCGGTACTTGCCACTTATTCGGTCATTCGTTAATCTTGTGGTTTAGTAAGAAACAGGTTAGTGTTGCACTTTCCACCACCGAAGCAGAATATGTCGCTGCGGGAAGTTGTTGTGCCCAAATTCTTTGGCTAAAACAGCAACTAGTGGATTTCGACCTTATACTTGATCACATCCCAATTAGGTGTGACAATATGAGCGCTAATAGTCTAACAAAGAACCCCGTTCTTCACTCGAGGACTAAACACATACAAATTAGGCATCACTTCATACGAGATCACGTCCAAAAGGGAGATGTCACAATTGAGTTTGTTGAAATGAAACATCAATTGGCAGACATTTTCACGAAACCCCTTAGTAGGGAGAGTTTCTTCCACATTCGGAACGAACTTGGCATTTTGGATATCTCTATGAACTAATTCATTCTTGTTATTGACTATACTAATTTGAGCGTCGGAGGCGCGATAACTTCTTTTTTGCAGGGCCTTTAAGGTATCTTGGCCTTGGTATCAAACCTGAATTGTACTTGATGACTTTTTTTCTGTTAAACAGTTTTTAATGGATTACTCTTCGAAGAGAAATCGATTAGACGCGCATGTCCATCTTAATCGATTAATAGTCTTTGTTTAATCGATTAAAAGCCTTCAGCGCAAACTCCTTTGGTTCTGCTTCACCTCTAATCGATTAACTAGTTTAATATAATCAATTAGTCTCGGCTGTGCTTCGTAATCGATTAAATCACTTAGATTAATCGATTAATATACGATTTTTGGTTTAATAAATCAGCCCATCTTCATCTTCTTCGCCATTCTCCTTTACAGAACCAGACTGGCGAAACCCTAGCCTCCCTCCTTCCAATTCCATTTTCGATTTTTTCTCAACAATCTCATCACCAAATTTCACCAAATTTCATCAATTTCAAAAAGTGAAGATGCCAAGGACCAAGAAAGTTGCCTCGCGACAAGAATCAACGGCGGCGGAAGAAGGGGAACGTCCATGGCGTAAAGAAGGAACGAAATACTTCCACATTCAAACCGGGCTTGACTTCATGACGGGAGCATCAGTCGAGAGGTTCGACAACAACTTTCTCACGAAGGAGATCGTCTCACCGAAGATTGTGGACAAGGACCTCTTCAAATCGGCGACCTATGCCCCGAGTAAGTCTCTTTTCGCTCAGCAAGACTTGCTTCGTTTCATTCACTTGACGTATGAATTTTTTTGTCCAAATCTTATACGTCAATTTTATGCTAATCTTCGTACCACTAAGGGAGACTCGCCATCTCTCGTTTCCTATGTTGATGGCAAAAACATTGAAATTGATGGTGCCGGTTTGACCTCTCTTTTTGGCCTTCGTCGAGGTGAAATTACCGAAAACTTGGATGAAACATTCCAAGATGAGGCAATTTGGCGACAACTCGGGTTAGATCATCGTGACCTCAAGTTTAGAAACTCTAGCAACCTGAGTGTCATTAACCTCACTTTGATTCAACGCGTTCAACAATACATCTTCTCCTATGTTTTGTTGCCCCGTGATTCGAACCATAGTGTTGTTAACAAAGACGATATTCGTTTGTTTCACGTCCTGTTGAACAATGTCAATTTTGACTGGGTTCACTTCTTTGACGTTGCACTTAGTGATGGTACTCGTTTCTCCCTTCTCCGTTTTGCCATCCCGATCATGCATATCCTTGCTCATAGCAAAGTGGATTTTACTCAGGACACTCAGGTGCCGGTGAAGAAGACTTGCTTCATCATGGAAGCCAAGTTTACCCGGAGTGTCTACCGCGAGGAAACCGAGCAAAATCTGGAACTGGTCATACCAGACGAAGTGGAGAGAGAGACCGAAGCTGAGTCATCTCAGGCCGGAGGGAGTCGAACCATGGAGCGTGTCACTCGTCAACGCAGGACTCGTTCGAGAGAAGGAGCACCAGAACCTTCTTGGGTGAAGAGGATATTTGATACTCTCACCTGTATCCGACATGACGTTCGCCAGCTCAACGAGAGGATGACTCGTATCGAGCAATCCCGCTCCTACCGTGGCCCGCGTCACAGCTTTAGCAGATGAGCTTGTCCGGCGAACTCTCTTTGATTATATTCCCTTCTGTCTTGACTTATTATGATACATTGTTATTTTCTATTGTTATTATAACTCTTTTTGGTGGATGATGATATTGCTTTGGATTTTGCTAATTATTATTGATATTTGTTTGTTGGCTTGGCAATATGGTTCTCTTTTAGAACATATTGTCCCTTTGTGGCTTTCTTGTTAGTTGTTCTCTTTTTTAAAGAAACTCTTGCAAAAATTTTCTACTATCCTTCAATATCACGGCATTGATTAAGGGGGAAGGATATCGATTGATAATGCCAAAAGGAGGAAGGAAGGATAGTTGAGAAAACTTTTTTTAAAAAACCTTTTTCCACTTATTACCCTGATATTTTTTTACTGCACTTCTCAAACCATGCAGTGGGAATTATTTTAAGGGAAGTATTTTCTTGAACTCTTACTTTGCTTTTTCTCAACTATGTTTGTCATTAACAAAAAGGGGGAAATTGTTAGACATGAGTTCAAACCCCTTTATTTTTTATTCTGGAATATTTTTATTTTGATAAATGACAAACAAGATGATTAAATTCAAGCTGATCGAAAATTTATTTTTCGTATCGAGAAAAGCAAAGAGGCGTATCAAGATATTTACGATGATAAAATCAAAGCCTACCCTACGCAGTTTTTTGAAGTGAAGTGAAGACTCTAAAGACTTTTTTATTTGAGTCTAGGAATCTTTGTAAGGATGACAATAATTTTTGCATAAACAAATTAATTTTTGAGGGATAAAAATTATTATTTTCTGAGTCAGTTGAAAAATTATTTTCTCTGTCTAAAAATATTTTACTGAGTCAGAATAGTGTGTCAAAATTTCTTAAAAATATTTTTTTAAGGTTACACAATTTTTTTGTGGTAAGAAAAATATACTTTAAATATTTTTCGTGTACATCGTTTGACACACAAAATAATTTTTGGACTCACTATCTCTCCCCTATTCAAATTCATTGAATAGGAGATATTATTTTTCTGAGGAGCGTGCCTTGATTCCGGTTGTCTCAAACAACCAGTATGATGCCAAAGGCTTCCAATCGCAACTTGGCTTGGGCCCTTTGCATTTGCACATCATTTCAAACTTAATCGATTAAATTTCCCTAAATAATCGATTAAATCTTATTTCCTTCTCAGCGCTTTTTCTCAGCTTTTAAATTGAATCGATTATTTCTTTTCCGTTAATCGATTTGTCTGGACAGAGCCACCTAATTGATTTGTTGCTTCACTTTAATCGATTAATAGGCTTTTCGTTGGATTCCCTTGTTTTGACCAATAATCGATTATTTTTCTTTGTTTAATCGATTAGTTAGGACAGAGCCGACTAATCGATTTTTAAAACTCATTTAATCGATTAGTTCCATTCCTCTCTTCATGCCTTTTCGTACCGTAATCGATTTAACTTTGTACGTTAATCGATTAATTTTATCTGGTGCATATTCTCAGCCTGCTCCAACGGATTTGTTTCTCTGAGCCTATTTAATCCTCCTTCTCCTTCATTATAAAACTACTCTCTTGCACTCCATATATTCTTTGAGCTATATTCATCCCTTGCTTCATCTTCTTCATCAAAATATTATTTTTGAGAGTTAGAAATATTTTCATTGAGTGCTAAAGATATTGTCATCCATAGTGCTTTAATCCTTCAACACTACTTTGCTCAATTGTGTGAGCTTTCATTCTTGTGTTGTAAACTCAATCTTATTTAAGTGTTGTTCTTAAGACTTGTGTGACTCAAGTCTTGGTGTTGTAAGAAAGTGAGGCTTGTGTGATTCAAGTTCTTAAGTTGTACCGGTTTTTCAAGCACCCGTTGAAGCTTGAAGATTAGTAGGACTTTCGAGAGAGTCTCTTGGAGGACTGGACTAGCCACGAGGTGGTGAACCAGTATAAATTTTGGTGTTCTTCTTTCCCTTACTCTCTTTATTTATTCCTGCGATTTTATTATTTCACACACGCGAAAAACGCACTTTCTTGAAAACAACTCTATTCACCCCCCCCCTCTAGAGTTGCACATTTGTCTAACACGGCCAGGATTTGGTGAACACCACCAAACATCGTTGCGATAGGTTCGTGAAGGGCTTGCGCCCGAAAATTCAGAAGCACATGTCTACTGCATCTAGGCAAGACTTTGGTGTTATGTACGAACAGGCCAAGGAAATGGTTCGAACTAAAGAAGGCGTGAGCCAGAAGAACAACCAACAATCAGCTAAGACAGCTACGCATGCAGCTAGCACGAGCAAGACCCTTCCGAGAAAGAGACCTCCAAGTGGATCTGAGCTTCAACTCTCGAAGAAGGCCAACTCATTACATACTCAATCCGTAGCATCTACGAGCAAGGGTAAGCAACCAATGCATCCATTGTGTTCTGATTGCAATCGTCATCACTAAGGTGAATGCTGGAAGAAGCTGGGGTTCTGTATGGGATGCGGTCAGTCTGGCCACTTAGCTTCCTAAGGAATTGCCCGACCAATCGTGGTTTTCCATTCTCTACTGCGCCAGCACCAATTCACACGCTTACTACTGGACCTGCGCAGAGCGAGCGTACCGCTGCATCTCAACGTCCACAAAGACCACAACAACCTGCTGCACAAAAACAAGATAGAGCTCCAGCTAGGACTTACGCCATGCAGGGAAGAATTGATCCTAACCAAGACGTCGACTATGGTACGTTCTTATATGCACTATAGGTATAACCAACATTATGAGATCCTAGCTTATTAACTATGTATTGAGACCGTACCTTTCCTACTTGATTACATGTATGGTTGCGAAAAGAGTGACAACGATTTCCTACGACGCCTAGAAATCCGCGCGAAATCAATGTCTTTTTCTTTTTCAGCAACAACGATGTAAAGGAATTTCGAGGACGAAATTCTTTTAAGGGGGAGAGAAATGTAACGCCTTGAAAACCGGCTTAGTAGTTGGCCGTTATTTTAATAATGAATAAATATACTATTCATTGACTCCAAAATATGAATTATTTGTAAAGTTAACCATTTTAATTAAAAGTTGGGTTTTTGGGTATATCTTGTAAAATGGTGACCAACGATGTAGAGTTTATTAAATTTAGATATACGTATAAAGCGTGATGAAGAAAATAAACATTACAGTTCAATAAATAATTATAAAGATTTTATAATATTAAATAATAATACCATTATTACTAAAGTTAATTCCTACGCCTATTCCTATCCCTAAACGGAAAACACAAGCCTAATCCAGCTCTTTAAAAACAAAACATGCGGCCGAACATCGTCATCATCTTTCTCTTTATTTCTCTTCGCCGATCAAGCCAAGGGGAGGTCGCCGGAACTACGTCAGAGCTTCGCCGGAGAAAAATCCTTTACCATTTAATTGTAATTCTTCGCCAATCGAGGTGAGTGATTTATCTCCCGTTAAAATAAATTCATAGATTATGATTATGTTGAATGGAATTGGAATTGGAATCGGGTTTAGATTTGGAAACTGGATTTTTCTGTTTCTTCCTTGCCTCTGCCGGGTAGTTGAGACGTCGTCGTGTCTTCCACCGTCGGGGAGGCTGCTGCCATGTTGGAGGAGTTGCTGCCGCCGGTGGGTCGTCGCTGCCACTACACTTTGTCCTCCTCTCGACTTCCATTTGTTTAGCCGCTGCTGGGATTGATGCGGCGGATGTGTCTCGCCAGAAATCGTTGCAGGTCGGATGACCGCGGAGGAAGGTGGCCGCTGTAACGTTAGTCGCTGGACTTTCGCCGCTGCTTCGCCAAATCGGTGCATCGGAGAAGAAGGCAGACTGACGGGTCGTTTGGGGAGTTTTTTTTGGAATTTATAGATTAGCCCTAAACTTCCAAACTATTTGCAAATCAGCCTTCCATTACAATTTGGCTTTAAGGAGTAGATGATAACCTAAATCTATTCAAATCTATTAACTAATAATTGATGATAATTACAAGAGTCCCTTCATAATATTAGGTAGATTTGAGGTTAAGTAGACATTGGAAATTTCAAATAAGGTTAAGATTAGAAATTAAGGTCATGCGGGTGACATCGTTCATCTGGTGGTCTCGAGGGTTAAAAACGTGCGCACGATGGTCATTGACCCGTGGCGAGAGCCAGCGGGGGCCTCAACCCCCTCCATTGTGAGAAATTTGGAGTTATGAGTGTGGGTTTTGGAGTTATGAGTGTGGGTTTGGGCGAAAGCCTAGATTCTATTGTATTTAGGTGCCCTAGCGGCAATCAAATACCTATGTAACTGTACACTTTATCATGAATGAAAGGCCTTGAAGTATGTTTTATATCTCGTGTAACATAACATAGCTTCAGTCCATAGAGGATAGCGCTTCAGTAACATAGATGAGGACTACGATGTTCTGATTATGAGACTGTTACTTCTTGACAAAGGCTATGTCTAAAATATTCCTAGTCGCACTTTATGATAATACGGACATCATAATGTATCAAGACTAGTACGTACGAGATGAGATAGTTGCGTCTCATAGACTATAGGTATTGTGATATCTTAATCTGTACGTAGGTACATATTATATCGATAATATGTGACTGGATTGACCCATCTTGAGAATACTACATGGATCTACAGTAATGTGTTTATCAGTATTCTCAATTCGACCTTGCTATAACTATCCTAAGACTTGAAGTTATTACATTCTCTGATATGTGGGGCCGTATACTTTGATTCATAACTAATTCTATCTGAAATACTGGTAGACGTACAGTTATGCGTTGGGTATGCCGCTAAGCATATTTGGAGATGTGAATAATATGCCGCTAACTAATTCTACTGTATAGAAGTATAATGTCAATGGGCCCATTGAATAGTAGGACTTGGGAAAGTGCATGGCCATGCACAGATATGTCGCTATCCAGAGACTGATAAATATTTTACCAGTCTACTTGAGATTCAGTAACAGCTGATTTAACTATACAAGGATACACATCCCATGCCTTGTGTTAAATCATGACATTTAGGACAGAAGGATAATAGTTATAGAATGTCTTGTGTCGTAGAAGGTATTGATGAGATGAACGTCTTTTTCATAATCTGGGGGTAATAATGTGTTGCTAGATACCGCTTATTATCTATGATATT